CGTCTGACTATATGCTGCGAATTGCGTCTCGGCCGCCTCGCGGCGCCCCCTGAGCCTAGCGAGGGGCTGTGAGGGTACCTAGCACCTACTAGTGGTGTATTCTGACCGGCCTGAGCCCAAAAAAGCCGCGCCGAAGTCGCCACGGTCCGACAGTGGCGTGGCACGGTCGAACTGGCGCCGCTGCTGGAACACGCGGTTCGCCGTTCGGGGGTCGGCGGGACGGAACGGCCGTTCGGGGAGCCGCGTGAGCAACAATCGACCCCTCACGCATACCAAGGTCACGGCGCCGGACAAGCGCGCATCGAGCTCGGCGGGGCTGATACCGAGTGTGAGTGTGTGTGTGTGCGTCGTGGTTTCGTATCAAGAATACTCACTCACTCACTCTCACGGTACCGAGTAATGTGCGGCCGCTCTCAAGACACGCAGCCACGGACTCAAGCGACATCGCACCACGCACGGGTTCGCACCTTGTGTGTGTGTGAAGAATTTACCTACGGCTTTCTTAGAGACCCCTTACCTTACCTCCTCCGGAGCGCCACGCCTGCGGCCCCCCAAATAGCAGCGCGATCAGCCGGTCCACCTGCTGCAGAAGCCCTCCCTCAGCGGCGACACCTGTGCTCTCGTTCGCCGCCGCCACCGCCGCAGAGAGCGAGGAGCGCGCGTCCAACCCCAAATGCGCACAGATCCGCGAGACTTTCTGCGGCAGCGTGGCGCCGTGGAAGGTGCCTCCGACGCCTCCTCCCACAGCGCTGTTTGCGGTTGCCGGTGGCGGGGCGGCCGGTGGGGGTCCTAGCTCGAGCGCCGCGAGTCGCATGGTGAGCGCCTCCTCGCGTGCCGTCGCCGCCTCCGCCTCTGCCCTCGCCGCCTCCTCCCGCCCCCGTGCTCCCCCCTCCCGCCCCCTCGCCTCCTCCTCCCTCGCCCTCGCCGCCTCCGCCTCTCACCGCGCCTGTTCCGCCTCTGACCTCGCCCGTTCCGCCTCTGACCCCGCCGTCGCCTCGCGAACCCTCGCCGCCGCCGCGTCTGACCTAGCCTGGGAGAGCGCCTGCTCGATCGCCGACCGAGTGCTAGACTGCTCAGTCTGCGTCGTCCTCAGCGGTGCCGCGGCCCGCGCCGCCTCCTCCTGCCGCGCCTGCGCCTCCATCTCGTCCACCAGCGCCGGCTGCGCTGCTCGCTTCCGCTCCTCCTCCGCCGCACGCGTCGCCTGCTGTCGCCTG